CATTTTGACAATGAAAATAAGAGTGTTTGCCCTGAAGTGTCAAGCCTGAGGTAGCATGAACCAGCAAGTGATACTATTGTGCTATATTACCAGGCTTAAATGCTGGTAATGCTCTTGCATGTGCATAACTCCACATAATTGTCTCCCATACCTGGAGGTAATACATGCATGGACAGGGGCATGTTTTCAGTGTAATACTGGCTCCATGTCAGAGCTGCCATTTTCAGTGATTACTTCTCATTGTTTGAATAGCTGTTACATAGCACCTGAATCATTATCTTGCTTTTTTGCTTTCTCTCTTTCTTTTAAAGCCATGATGAAGATGAAATCCGGCCTGTGCAGCAGCAGGATCTCCACAGGGCAATTGAGAAGATGAGAAAATCCAAGGATGCCACACTGCAGAATGTTTTAATGCACGTTAGTTTAGATTAAGACAAAAGAGCGTGTTTGCGGTTTCTGATATGATTTAGGTTGACTTCTGTAATTGGTTAGCAAAAATAATGTCAGGGGGTGGGAGCAGGGATGTTCCTTGAATAAGGGAGTTCTGTTTCTGGAATTGTTTTTATACAACAAATTCTAAGTTATTGAAATTTTGTCATGCACAACTAGAAGTGTAACAATATATCATAAGTGGAACAATTATAGTCCAGACCAAGAGCAACTTGCCCGTGTCTTGTCCCATAATTGATACACTGTATAGCCTTAAAGCAGGTTCTGATGTGGTGCATGGGTTTGGCAGGTCACCAGCATGGAGGGCAAACAATCTATTACCAGTTTGTGTATATATGTACGAGCGTGTGTGTATGTATTAAATGTATATATCCACACCTTTTTTTTTATACAGACATAATCTGTAGATAACTTGAGTATGGGAGATCTTTTCTACTTACTGAATCAAATCGAATCAGAAGATGTATAGATTAAAGATTTGTCGATACTCAGTGCACATTTACTTCTTCCTTTTAGCAGCAAGTATGAAGATAGGAATTCTGCTTCTAGAATAACTTGCAGGCAAAATCTGAAATGTTACTGATTTTCCTTGCACATGACCACTTGAAATCTGGTGCCATTCAGTAAAGATAGTAAACTTCTGTAAAAATGTTTGAATACTTTTCATTTTATATGAATTCTGCTTTCTGAGGCTTTTTAAATGAATGCTGGTTTTATTTTTCCCTTGATGTGAGTAATTAGAGTAGAATCTTAACTGGTCTTTCATAAAGTCCGAGATATTATAAGCTCTCTGAAACTGTGGCTTTCTGATCTATTATGCATTGTAACGAGGACTTGCTGCTATTTTAATCTCCTCTGGAAGCCCCGCTGCTGCGCTGTGGCATTGTACCATGAAGTGTCATACATGTAGCTCTGAGGCATGGGGGGACATTTTGTGGTGTTTTGCTCTGTCACATGCTCTGATTCACAAAACTCAAGAGAATGGGTTTTAGGTTTATAAATGTGATTTAGCAATGTTCTGCTGTACTTGCTGGTAACAGTTTTAGTAAATTCATGTAATGTTATGTAGTGATAAAGGCAAAGAGCTGGAAATGTAAGTGGCAAAAGTGTTTTGCTACAGTTATTGTCACTAGGTTTTCAGTAACTTGATTTTTCTTCTAATATGATGAATTGTGCACTAATTCAACACAGATATATAATCAGAATTGTTCAAACCCCCAGGCTAGCAGCAGAGCTCTGCTAGCTGTTTGAGGGAAGGTAAGCATCGAAAGCATGGTAAGGACGTAACGAAAAACGCACTGCAAAGTAAAATAAAAACAGCTGGAGCCAGCCATGGTGCAGTATCAGGTGCTGATGACAATTTACATTAAGCACAGCTTTCTCACTGTGTCCTTTTCTCTGGCACACTGGTTGTGTAAGGCACCAGGTGCAGTAGGTCCCAGTGTGACCCAATTTAGTCTCGTTGGGTACAGAACATGGTGGGGTTAAAAATAATTTGGTAATTGCTTTGGTTTTTTTTTTATATGGGGAGAGAAGTCTTTGGTAAATGCATATTGCTTTAATACAAGGACGTAGGAAACTGGGCACACAGAAATACTGGGCTATGGAAATCTAAGAGATGTGAGCTATGGAATGCTAATCCCACAACTCAGTTAGTGACAGGGTATAAGGCAGTGATGTGAGCCAGTGCTAGCTCTGTGAGAGACCGAGTTCAAGAACCAGCCTTAAAATTAAATGGGCAAATAGTGTTACTGGAAGCTGGTTTCTCAAAAGGTTTAAATTATGCATGTGTCAGATGAAGTTCTCCAGCTATTCAGTCTGTTCTCAGTGCCTGCTCTGGCTCTGGACTACCCCCAGCCCTCTCAGTAGTTGTTAACACCTGAGAAATTCCAAGCTGGTGCAATAATGTAATTGGTCCTGTGCCTCCTTCCTTTGTTCGGGGTGCTCCTACTTGGTAAGCACCTAGTGCAGGCAGCTAGAAAATGCTGTCTTAATTGGTTTTAATTGAGTGTAAAGTGTGTCCTCAAGGGAGTTTAAATGTCAAACAGTGCACAAACCCATGACTGTTTGCAGGTGCTGAGGGCATCCTCTCTCACCAGCTGAGCTTTCATCTCCTTTTGCATGTTTCTCCAAAAACCTGGCTGTTCACATGCTGGCTGGATCTTGCCTTTGCTTTGTGCCTGTAATGCATTGTCACAGGCTGAAGGGGATGGTCTGAAGAGTCTCAAGGAGTTATTGCAGCTGGAGTGTGAGTTCCACTTTTCCAGGGATTTTTCAGTACTTGCCTACTTTTTCTGTCATTTTGGGAGTCCTTGGCAAAGCACAGACTGTTCTATGATTCTTACACCTTGCTGGAAAGGCTGGGGGAGTGGCATAGTTTACCATGCAGGAACATGGCCGCTCTAATTCCATGTCTCCAGTGGTGTGGTCCATGTTACTTTCCTTAGAGCAGGGACATGCCTAACCCCTCTCCTGTGGCTCTAGGGCCAGTTGTCAAACCGAGTGTTGTTTCACAGGTGTGGGCTGAGGCCAGTCCAGCTGCCAGTACTGAGATCTGAGCTGTAATGCAATGTCTTGTGTGAAATAGGTCTATCTTGGGGTTTAAAGGTTGAATCCTCTGCAGGAAGAGGCATAGGCATTCTTAGCAGGCAAGTAATTTGTTTATGACCTCTTCATCCATAGCAGTCACCAGTAGACTGTACAGCACAGACCATACCTAAATTGTCCTTGGGCTGTAAAGCAGCTAATCTTGCCTGTTCAATACTACAGCACAAACACAAACCGTTGGAGTAGTCTTAGGTGAATAAATAATGTTGGTTGTTTGCTCTGTGTTTTTGTTGATCTGTTTTCTGTAACCTTCACCAGTATGTCCATGTTTGCATTCTGTAAATTACAGCTTGCTTTTTTTTTTTTTTGAGAGTGGCTTGGGCAAGGGCATCTTTTCCCTGTCTACTGTTTGGAAACCCAGGGATGCATTGGCCAGACAACAGAGGGTGAACCCTGGGGTGCTGCAGGACCACACTGGTTGAGTGGAGTACTGGGAGCCCAGCAGGGTGAGCAGAGCACAGCCCAAGCTCCTGCAGCCACCATCCAACCCTGCATAGGGGCAGGCACAGGGCAGCGGCAAAGGACCTCCATCCCCATCAAACAGCAGCTGCCAGTGCTTGCAAGATCTCTGTTTGTTTCTCTGCTAGCTGGGAAGCATGGGCAACAGCACCCTCCAGGCCCACAGCCCATTTACAGCAGGTCTATTAGGAAAAGACCAAGAGATGCAGTATCATCCTCTTTTTCTTCAGGGTTTTGGCAGCTAGAAGATGTTTAATTTCTGGTTAAACACCACAGAAATGCAGGGCAATGCCAATTTTTACTCTTGTTAAATGTGACGTCAACAATACATGGCCCAGACAGGGAAAAGGTAAATTACATGAGGTTTCCAAAAGGAAATGGATTCCAGTCAGCTTCTCTGCTGGCTGATCCAGCCATTACCCTACCCGAGGCACTGAGCATGCAAGGCTGGAATGTGAAAGGGGGGCTCCTGCCACTACAAGCTGGTCACAGCCCCAGATAAACTGCATGGTTATGATTTCCCTTGGAAAAAAAAAATCCACAAGGTGAGAGTTAGTATATAAATATTTATTTGTACTAAAAGTGAGTGTTTCGTAGCAGAGTATCAAGTTCAGAATATATTAAATCATGAGAGGCATCACTTGATGCAAATTCCAGTCTCATGCCTTTAATAAATACACTATAAAAAAACTAGTCCACATACTCTATTTGGATCAGAGGTAATCAGTACACTACACTGTTTTAAAAGGATAATACAAGATTTGTGTTTTGCTGTAACCATTCGGATTTATGGGAGGGAGGTTTAACCATTTATTATATGATGAGTGGCAACAGCACTATGTCACTACTTAAAAATGACAAATATTGCAAACATAAATGGGAGTATTGCTTTTGTCTTCCAGGTCCCTGCCAGAGGGCCTGAGCGTAAAAGGCACTGGTGCTAGTGTGTGCTTTCAGCTACCAACATGAGCGTTGCAGCATTTTTCTTGAGGTATAATACAGCTTTGGGCCTTTGCTTTACTTTAAAAAATTATAAAAAAATAACTCCCAAAGAGCTGACATATGATAGAAGGCTTTTTGCAGAAGTATTCCCAATTACATACATAGTCTTGGACACTGTACTATGGCCACAGCAAAACAGGTTTCAGCTTGCGATGTAGCTCACTATTCTAAGTTACAAGCAGAAGCGTCATTGCTCTTACTGAGTGTAGCTCCATTTGTAATTAAAACTGAAGTACAAGAAGAGGAGAGCGCTATTTCCGTGTCACTTGAAACACATCTGACTGGTCCTGGGGCATCTACTAAGAAAAGACGAGTACAGAAAGTACCAATTCAGTTTGCTGCAGTGACCGACAAGTGCATGGCTGTCTTCCCCTCAGTAAAAACCTCACACCTCAGTATGGTGGCCGGGAAGGCAGCACGCTCCTTGCTGCCAGCACAGCAGGGCTGCAGGATCAGCCCTTTCCCTGGGGAAGCCAGCACAGGCAGGGGCAGGAGGTGGCTGAGGGGCTCCCAGCCATGTGAGGCAGTGTGCTCAAACCTCAGCCACCACAGAGACATGCACCAGTCCCAGCAGCATGTGCCTGCAGTGAGACACGAGCGGGGCCAGGTAAAGCTCCGGTGCTGAGTCACACTGCTCTGCCCAGTCAGAGTTCACTGCAAGTGCTGCGGGTCAGTAAAAAAGCCAACACAGCAGCAAAATCAGTGTCAGAGAGGGTGGGTTGAGAAAGGTTAGGGCTGCTGTAACTTTCCACCAGCCATAGCTGGGTGCAGCACCAGCCACTGGCTACCTCTCTGTGTGAGGGATGATGGCTCAGCACCAACACCCCTCACACAGCAGCACCCCATGCAGGTGGAGGTGGACGGCAAGGACTTCTCTCCATCCTCTGCCATCTCCCACCAGAGCCAGCATCCGCAGCACGCAGGTACTAAGTAAAATCAGGCCACCTGTACCCATGTGGGATTACGGGTACAGATGAAGGCAAGTGCTTGAGCCATCTCTCCACTCTTTTAACAGGTACAGCCTCTTGGACCCACCTCACACTGTGATTTTGCTGGTTTGCCTTTAATTTGCCTTTCAGATGGGAGAAGCACAGGCAAAGGAAAGGGGGGATGCAGTCCTGCTAGGTGTGAGGATACCCATGAAAACATGTAAAAACCATCCCCAGTTTTTGACTGCTGCCCTGAACTTTCTCAAAGATCTCCCGGTCTTTACGGTGCCTCCCAAGAACATCTTCCCGCATCCATGGGTCCCCTAGGCTGTGAGCACAGGGATTGCCATGGAAAGCTGAACTCAGAGCATCAGTAATGTTCAGCCCAGGTTTTGTTTTGACCAGAGAGTTCAAACAGGAGAAAGCAAAGAAGGACAGTGAACAGCTGTCTCAGCCACAAGGAACGAGTGGTGGTCAAGGCTGATTTTAAAAACTCCTTTTTAAAAAAGGGCATTAAAAAAACCCCACTGTTTGTTGGCAAAAATGGTCTATGGGACAACCTGGAGGACAGCGAATGGATCCAAGCACTGTGTGCCTGTTTCCCTCTTCCAGCCTGGCAGCAGCAGCTGCTCCTCACTTCAGTGGCTCCTTCCTCTTCAGGCAGAGCTGGCTGCGGGTAGAGAAAAGGCACTTCTTCATTTCTGCTCCACACAGGGGACAGGCGTGGTTTTCATCCTGGTGCTGAGGTCCCAGCTCTGCATCGGGGGCTGGTGCCTGGCTCTGGTGGCATTGGAACAATCCAGCTGGCCCACCCAGGGGCTGTGCTGGGCTTCCTGCAGCTGCACTCAGCTGGGAATGCAGGGCTCGCTGCCCTTCCCTTCCAGTTCCATGGGGATACTCCTGGCAGCTTCCAGGGGAGAAGGACGAGGCTCAAATTATTTCTGATTAGTAAAAACCACTCTGACCTAGGTAGAAAAATCCTACAGGCAGAGCATTGGAAATGCCAAGTAACTGATCTGTGTCATAGGGAATCAATCAATCATTGCTCACTCTTAATACAAGCATTTCTAGGGAGGAGGAGTGTTAATTCTGTTTTCCCAGTGACTGGTAGTACTCAGTTAGGACTTTCCAAGCTTTGGGGGCCATGAAGCCGTCTGGTGGGTTTTCACCTTCACGAGCAAGCTTCCTCATGCGTGTCCCCGAGATGAAGTCAAAATCGTTGTGCCTGCACAGAACAAAGGTGAGAAATCAGCACAGCGCAACTCTTCTGCCATGCAGGTGCATGGTTGGAAACCTCCTCGCACTGGTGAAGACCATCTGCGGCTTCATGCCTGGGTTTACTATCTGCTTTTGCCTTTCCCCTTGCAGCCAGACACGATCCCAAAGCACTCGCACTGTGCGGGCTGAAGCAGCAGTGACACTGCTGCCTGCTTTACCTTTTCGGGTCATAGAAATCCATGGCCCTTTTCACTTTATTGTAAGCAGCCACCCGGAAGGGGATGATCTCCACTGAGGTCAGGCCTGGTGCCATGCTGAGGACCTTCCCTCCTTGTGTGGGCTCGTAGAGGTCCTTCTTGGTCTCGGGGTGAGGCATGCCTGCAGGATCACGCCCCACAATATAGAAATTGGCCCCAGCAATCATGCGAGCTCGGCAGTGCCACTGCACCTGCAAAGGAGAGACACCAGCAGCACTGGATGAGGGCTGAGCAGCAACTGAGATGCCCATCCGGGGCTGCAAAAGAGATCCTAGTAATCGCCATGCAGGCAGGCAGGAGAGGTTCAGCAGCCTTGCTGCAGTTTCTCATAGTGATCAGGCCACCCAGACACACCTTCCACTGCTTAGACCTGATGCAACATCACAGTTCTCCTAAGGACGTATGCTCCGAGAGAAACACTGGGGATGGGAACTGGCCTTGTTACAGCTAATGGAGGCAGTGGTTTGCTTTTTGAACATGCAAAGACAGTGCTCACCATCCCTTGGGCCCCACACAGCCACACATCCCTCTCCTTCCTCCTTCAGGGAAGGTTCAGCACTTTTATCCCACTGATTTAGGGGCAGAAGGGAAACCACTGGGAGAACTCAAATGAATGTTACTGCCTGACAGAGAAGAAGGTTACAGCAGCAAAGTCTGTTTCTAGTCCCCTTCTCCCCAGCTCCCCACACAGCCTGTGAAAACATGGGAGCCCACAGAGTTGAGCTCTGCTGGTAAACAGCTGCTGCAGTAAGCTGCAGGTGAACCAGCTAATACCAACTCCTTTCCCTGTGACCTTCTTGGGGCTGCACAGGCAGGCGGGCAGCAGGTGCACTCATGGACAGGCTTTACACCTTGTCTCAGTCAGCAGCTGATGGCTACATTACCTCTGTGGGGCCCGCATAGAGCATGGGAGAAGGGAAGATGGCAACGATGGTTGACTTGGGGTCCAGGACTTGCTCCTCCAGCACTGCTGCATGCTGCTTCATCCGCCACTCCAGCGGGACATCGTCATCTTTGGTCCATCCCCCCAGGGGGTGCAGGAGAAGCACGGGGTTTTTGTATCCCTTCTCCAGAAGCTGGCGCCGCGTGTCCTGCATGAGCAGGGCATGCCCATTGTGAACAGGGTTGCGCAGCTGAAATGCAAAGACAGCATCTAAAAGGGAAAGATTCAGATGATCACAGGCTTGTGCTGATCATCAGACCCTGCGGCTTCATTTACACACGACACATCTCAACAGTCATAAGATACGTACATCATAAGCTGTATGTCCTATCTTCACATGTGTGAAGCCCTAAATACCTTAGATGATCGTTTCATGCATCTACGATGCCTCTTCATCACTCTGTGAAGTTTATTTTCATTGCATATCCTTCCTTTGGTGCCGATTTCAGTCCTATCAGCTCTCCTACAAATGTTCTTACATGCCACTGACACCTCCACTGAGGTCCCCGACTCCTCAAGTGGCTGGCCACCTCTCCAAGCTTAACGGCACCTTCAGGAAGGCTGACACTCTTTCCCCAGAGTGAGGGTAGATGTCTCATGCCTGCCAGCCTGCTGGGATAGATACCTGGTAGAAGACATCTAAGCTGTCCCCCAAGTGTGAATGCCAGGCACATCAGCACAGGTCTTTAAATGCCCAGGGTACAGAAAGAGAGGCTCTGACTTGCCAGGGAAGACACAATGCTCAATGCTTTCCAGTGCCATGCTCGGAAAGGCCCACTGAGGATGCAACTAATGGCAAACACTGCCCTTAACCAAGAAGACCCCACACCACTTTATGTGCCATATCCTGTGTCCCTCTTACTGCTCACCCCACCTGCATAGTTCCATTTTGGGAAATACAGAAGCAATTTGCAAGTACCGTGAGCTTGAGAGCAAGTAATGCCAGATCACACAGGTCTCCCAGTGCCAGGTAGGGCAGAGAAGGGCCATGTCACCAGTGGAAACCCAGGGCACTCACCAGCATTCATTTCCATGAACTTCTGCTTGAGAGCAAGTGGTGTCAGGCGGTACTGGTCCAGCCCATCATTCCATTTGATCTTCTCCAGCACAAGCAGGTCTCCACCAACCAGCCAGTCTCCACTTTCCATCACCATCTGTGAATTACACACACATGCATTATGGAGGGGACAGCAAAATACCTCCTTTTTCCATTCCCATTCTCCTTTGAAAACTGTTAGGCTTGACTCTGTTTGCAGGGTGATGTTTCCTTTCAGCACATTATAGGTGGGAAACATTCTTACAGTTATCATCACATGAATTGAATGTCATGATCAGCGTAACCCTGCAAATGAGGCATCAGCCACTGAGCCCTTAACACTATATTGGGTGCTGGCAGACTGAGGTCTACTAGTTACGGCACAAGACCCTCCTCCACCTCACTCTTTGCTTTTTCCTCCTGGGAATATGCAAGGTGAGCAACTGCTGCTGAATAATTAAAAGATGTATTTTAAGGTAGGAAAACAGAATTAACTCAGCTTTAGTCTTTTTAAGCAGACAGCTCAAGTCACTCAGCCTAACCTGGAGCTCTTCCTTTCTACAGGATGATGTTCTTTGTACTGCCAGAGAGTAAGTGGGAAGAGACAAGCTGTAAAAATATAACAACACCCTTGTTGGCTGCCTGCACGAAGCAGCCAAATCAAGGAGTAAAAAGTAGCTAAAAGAAGCATGAGTCAGCAGTCTGCAGCATTAGTACTGTGTGCGCTGGCAGCCCAGAAAGCCAACATTATCCTGGGCTGCAACAAAAGAAGCGTGATCAGCAGGTTAAGGGAGGGGATTCTACCCCTCTATCCGCTCTGGTGAGACACCCCCCCCCGCAGTGCTGTGTCCAGCTCTGGGGCCCCCAGCAAAGGAAGAACATGGACTTGTTGGAGTGAGTCCAGAGGACATGAAGATGCCCTGAGGGCTGGAACACCTCTGCTATGGAGGCAGGCTGGGAGAGCTGGGCTTGTTCAGCCTGGAGAAGAGAAGGCTCCAGGGAAACCTTTAGAGCAGCTTCCAGTGTCTGAAGTGGGGAGTACAAGAAAGCTGGAGAGGGGCTTCTTACAAGAACGTGTAGTGATAGGACAAGGGGGAACGGCTTTAAACTGACAGAGGGGAAATTTACATTAGACATTAGGAAGAAGCTCTTCCCTGTGAGGGTGGTGAGACATTGGCACAGGTTGCCCAGAGAAACTGTGGCTGCCCCATCCCTGGCAGTGTTCAAGGCCAGGTTGGACGGGGCTTTGAGCAACCTCATCTAGGTTGAGAGGTGAGAGCAACCCCGTGTCCCTGCCCGTGGCACAGGGGGTGGAACTGGATGAGCTTTAAGGTCCCTTCCAAACCAAACCAAACCATTCTGTGATTCTATGATTAGTGTTTGGCAGCATCACTGTGATTGTCACACCGCAAATGCAAGAAAATGTTGGAGCCTAAGTTGGCAGTCATACTAAAAATGTTTGAATGTAGGCACGCTGGTGAAGATGAGTGGATTAAAGGAGCAGCTCCTCAGCAGCATGCTCATTCTTCCTCTCACTTTGTGCTTGTTATCAGATTGCTCTTCTTGAACAGCAAGCCCAACGTCAACTCACAAGCCCAAAAATTCAATCCTGTCTGCTTGGGACACGGTGGTTCCCACTGAGGAGCTGGCCTTGGAAAGCAGACAGGACACCCACATCCCTCAGAACCTTAGAAACGGCCAGGTTTCCAAGAGCAGCGCAGGGACAAACCTACTTTGACATGCGGGTGCTTTGCACAGGTGGTGCCCCAGACACGGGCGCAGCGCTCCTCCTTCCTGTGCTCGAAGTACTCAGGGTTCTTCAGGACCGCCACCCTTCGCCCCAGGTAGCTTAGTGCCAGTGCCTCGCAGCCCTCCAGCCGCTCCTTGTCCTCCACAGAGATTGGCAGCACGATGGGGATGCTCAAGTTGACAATGCCGTCTGGCAAGAGACAGGGAGGATTTTCATGTACTCCAGCCTTGGGCATTGAATAAACAGAGGCTTTCAGAGGCACACAGTCTCCCTTTGGAGAGCAAAGTTTTCCAGGACCAGCTCAGAGATTCACCATTAGTCTTGCAAATGTATTCATTGCCCCACTTTTTTCTGCACTGCTAACAAATAATGATGTTAGTGGAATATGAAAACTCCTTATCTTTGGGCCAGAGATGTCTCAAAGATACCTGAAGCATTTAATTGTTTTCTGCACTATCTCAGTGGAAAGACTGGTTCTTCTCCAGCTAGTTTGTTGCAAAGTCTCTTCGCAAAATTTAAGTGTACTGGGAAAATGCAACCCTGGATATTACCTCCTCCACCACGAGAACAATCTCTATTAAGATGGCTCCAACTCAGTGTTCCCTAAGGCATCTCATTCCTTGCCCACCTCCTCTTGAACTGCCTCTTCCAACTGGAAAAACACTGTCATACTTCACTTTGTTTCTCTGTTGTATTATTTTCCTGGATATCTCTATACTATTATTCCTCCTCCTTTGTATCTCTGCAGAGACCATTTTTAATCTATTTTCTGTGTGTATACAGTGAGTCTACACTTGCATGTGTATTTTCCAATTTCACTGCTGTCCCTGACAAATTGAAGTCATGTTGGTTTTATCCCCACTCTCCCAGTTTCACAGTCCTCCACTAAGGTCCTCCCATTTCTTCTATGAGTATTAATAAAGGAGAATCAGTCTCTCCTGTGGATTTCCATTTACAAACAAGAACAAACAAATCATTGATTCAATTTGTTCTGATCTGACTGAAATCACTTTGGACCCTTGAGAGTCCTAATTTGAGAATTTTGTCTATGATGTAGATTTTTAAAATATCTTTATTAAAATGTTTGCGTTTACTTTTAATTCACACTTAGGTGTCATTTGTCTGCCAGGCAGCAATTTTCAAGCACCTTCATGAATAATCGCACCTATAGTTGCATGGGATCCAATCAATGTCAACTTCATACATTTAAATTATGTTACTCAGTGATTAGTCAATAAAGCCAGCATGGAAAAAGCTGTATTATGAAACCAACAAATGATGCTGTAGCTGAGACTCTCCATGCTCCATTTCCAAATGCAAGATGCAGAGTTTAAAACAATAAATCACTGCAGCAAAGGTAATTATAAAATTAATTAAAAGGACATGGGATGTGTCATGCCACTTCGTAACCAGCTGAATCACAAACAGGCTGTGGCAGTTTATAAGAGTCTTAATAGTTGTTCCTTTTTTAAAAAAAATCTCAGAAAATTACTTTATAGCAAAGAAATGTAAATTGAAGTCATTTCTGTACAACCTAAGAATAGTTATATACATACCAGCTACAGAGGGATTCCTTCCTGGGAGAATACAAACACAACACAATTAACACCCCCATGCACCAATTGCAGCAATCATTGCAAGAACCAAAGCACCTCTGGCAAGCAGCACCTAACCACAGGCAGGGTGCCTGCTGGTGTGGCTGCCATCCTCCATGGTGCTGCCCCAGCCTCTCCAGCGCTCACCTATCCAACACGGTTTGCACTGGCTGGGAGCGATGTACAACACCTATGCTTTTTTGCTGTCACCCAGTCCCAGCAGAGGCACCCATCACTGGTGTGGAGGAAAAAGTGCTGGACACTCTGTGGCACTCCTGCTGCCATACAATGCACAGATCCACCTTTCTTCCTGGTGGCCATCATGCCCCTACACAAAGCACCTCAATCCACCCAACTGTTGGTGGTCTCAAGGTGGAATTTACTGCTCAAAGTCTGAGCAAAAGGAGCATTAACTTGCACAAATCCACCAAAACTATCGCAGCCCTTTCAGGCACAGCTAGAGCTGCCAAAACCATCACCCGCACCCCAGGGCAAGAGGGCTGGAACAATGACTCTTGACAGACCAGCCTCAAATCTCTCTTTGGCAATGCTGCCGCACCCAAGCCTGAGCACCATGAGATGGAAACTCTCCACTGTTCCCTAAAGCTCATCCAAGCAAACCAGGAATGTTCTCCCTCCTGCCCAGATGTCACCCTGTGGGTCTGACCATGCAGATGTTGAGTTTAGAGACCTCTGCGGAGACAAGGTGGACTGGGGACTGATGCTACTACAAAGACCTTGCTCTGGAGTGTTCATCCCCCCAGCAAAAGCCAGTGTTCTGGGCTTTGTCTCTGACCCCACAGAGCCCTGCAAATCCTGAATGCATGCCCAAAGACCCCAGAGGACCTGAGCCCAGTGAAGCTGACAGGTTTGGAGCGGGCACCCCAAAACCAGTGCTGAGATGAGCCTCCGGTGCAAAGTACGGAGCTCTGGAGCAGCACAGTCATTACAGGGTGCCTCTGTACCTTGTCAGGCACAACAGGTAGCTCAAAGACCACAGACTAGGGTCTGATAACAAGGACATGTGCTTCTGAACACTGTTTGCACACTAGGTGGAAGGTAAAAGGCTATAACATGTGTGAAGGCAGAAGCCTGCATACAGACACTCTTCTGGTCCAAAGCAAGCAGTCCTGAGCTTTGCATATGCTGCATGGTGCCCAAATCCTAATATCAACAAGTTACTGCATGACTATGAGATCCTCTAGGAGGGCAAGACTCAAAGGGAGTCACTTGCCAAGATCTCAAATACCCAAGACCAGAGATCACTATCAGGTCTACAAAACCCAAAGTGAGTGCCCTGTGCATGTGAAGTCAAGCAACAGCATCCACAGCTGAGAAATGGGACAGAAATATCTACCACCCTGGTCTCAGCTGTAGACGATCACCGCCTGAGTACTTTCTGTCATTTCCAGGCATGAAGCACCTCAAACATGTTGCTAATGAATAGATAAATCTGATTTCTTCCAAGTCACAGTAATGAATAATCACAAAAATAGGGGAAAAAAGTGAAATCAGGCTCTGCTCCTGTTTCCAAGGAACAGCCGCCTTGTCCTCCTACCTCAGATTCAGCCTGGCAGCCTCCCTGCTTACTTGGCTTTGGCTTTGCATCTTTATTTACCCTAGTACAACCAAGCATGAAAAGAGCTACACAATGGCTTCCGAAATGTTTGACTGGCACCATGCAAGATGTCAAAGCTGTGTGCCTGAGCACCAGGCCTAGCGCAGTGAAAGCTGTCACATTCCGTGACCTTTGGTGTGTTTTGGAGCACAGCTTACTGGCCCCCACAGTCATTTACAGGCCTTCACATTTAACACGAGAGAGTAAAGAAGGAGAAAAACACTGCTGAGCATTAAGCTTTTCTATGTGGCTGCCTGCTGAGACACCACCGGGTAAGCATCCCGTCGCGCAGCTGCTTGCTGGCCAGAGTTAATGCAAAGCGTGGGGGTTCGTACCATTCAGCAGGGTGCCAAAATGGATCACTTGCAAGTACTCTGCCTCGCGCATGAAGCCGGTCAGCGGAGTGGCCCAGCCTTCGCTCAGCACCTGCACCCACTGCAGATCCAGCTGCAAAACAAACCCAAATGGTACTCTGTCACCAGGGCACACTGAGAGGTTGCTTGTCCTTCTCTTCTGCTTCTTCAGTGCTCTCATTTGTTTCGCTTCAAATAGAGGACATTCATAAAGGGGGAGAAAGCTGTGAGGGGGTTAGACTGGGGTTGTTTTTCAAGCCAGACTCACACACTTTCATAGCACAATTGCCTGCAGGTCTGTAGTAACACAACAAAGGGGTCTGACACCCCTGGCTTGCTACAGCACAGGGTGGAGACACAGCAGAAAATGGCTGAGGATTAGGACCACACTTCAGCTCACCATAAACCTCAGCCACAAAAGGACATATCAGAGGAACAGAGCCCCTTCTAGCAACATCCCCATCAAAGCTTCTACCCTTCAAACAGCTAAATAATGACTGAATCACAGCACATTATCCATGCATGATGATACCTTAGTGATCTCTACAGATGGTAGCATCTCTGCTTCAGCTTGTACAGTACTGAGTTTATTTTCAGGCACAAAGAGCTCAAGAATGTCCTTAACTGAGCTGTGGGGCACAATGTTCTGAAAGAGAGAGACAGACAGCCATTGTAAGCAACATGCTGGCTTTCAAGTGCGCACCAAAAAGTCTGTATCCGAAAGCAGCTTTACAAAGCTGCTAGCGGCGGTGGCATAAAAATGACCTACTTGTATTTGGAGGAGCTCCACAACCTGCTGAATACATTCAGACACTGACGCAACGTTCGTTTTCAGCACTAGTTCAGGAGACTCAGGCTTCTCATACTCTGAGTCAATTCCCGTGAATCCTATGGACAATTAAACCCAAACTAAATTTATTTAATATAATACTCTGTGCCCTATAGCCAACAACACTGTACAAACAATCATGAGTATGCAACTGTGCTGGGTACTGCGAGTGACACTTGTGACAGAAAGATTAGGGAAACAGGATACTCTCACCCACTGCAAAGGGCCTTTAGTAACCCACCTCTATGTGCAGAGCTGCAGTGACAAGATATTCAACGCTTTGGAAAGCAAAAGGCAAAATAAAAGCCCACTCTTCCATACCTTTGATCTCTCCAGCTCTTGCCTTTTTGTACAGACCCTTCACATCTCTGCTTTCACAAATACTTAGAGGAGCATCTACAAAGATTTCAAAGAAAGGAAGTCCAGCTGCTTCATGAATTTTCCGTGCATTTTTACGATCCTGTTAGAAGAAAGAAGGGAAAATTGTATGTGCCTGAATTGCAGCAAGCATCTTCCTACCATACGACGTGCCCTGGAATTCAACACATATAGATACATCTCTGATACAGATTTAATAAATTAACACTAATTCTAATGAGGATTTTTCATCTCCCTTCCCCCTTTTTCTTCAAAGATACTTAAGAAAAAAAGAGTTCTACAACTTTCATCTGTTTTCAGTGTTTTCCATCTGAAAGATCAAGAAGCTCCCTTCATTAAGGAGATCAGCAGAACTTTAGAATGTGAATAGTTATCTGTCCTGTATCGAACAAAAAGGAACTGCTTGCATCAGCCTGATAACAGCAGCTACTTGGTATTCTCAGGAAGCATAAAAACGCAATCAGTAGTTCTTCAAACAGAGCAGTGATAGATCTATGACAGACTACTGCTTCTATGCTTCTTTTCTGCCTCCTAATGAGTAAACAGAAGGAGCCTCTATAGGGAGATTTTAAACTTCTCTCAGCTTTTAATTGATTTTTAATCAGCTTTTAATTGATTTGTAACACTGAATATACTCAAAAAAGTCATGTCAAACTGACCTCCAGAAATTTGTACTGCTTGCATGTCGCTCTGTTATTGGTGTATTTTAGTTAAAAGGAGCATCTGACAGCATACGTAAGAAGTCCTCTATGTAACTTTCTCTTCCCTAAGAACAATCATGAGATCTAGGTTGCCCAGAAAAGAGCAGAATATGATGCAGTGAGATTACCTTTGCAAATGGAGAAATGAAACTAGTTATGCAGACAAGCCCAGCGTCAGCAAACAGCCTGGCCACCTCTGCAATGCGGCGGATGTTCTCCTCACGGTCCCCAGGTGAGAAACCCAGGTTTTTATTCAAGCCATGCCGAACATTATCACCATCCAGGGAATAGCAAGGGATGCCATGTGAGACCAAGTACTCTTCCAGAGCAAAGCCAATGGTTGTCTTGCCAGCTCCAGAAAGGCCTGTTGAAGACAGAAAAGTGAGGGTCAGGTTTGAGGTCAAAAGAGCAAAAATGACAGTGTATTGCAATACCTCCTAGGACACTGGCAACAAAACTCCTTCTGTCTTACATTGCTTTAGGAAGGAATGACATGGCGAAGTTGGAGACACATTTTAGCACACAGTTACCACCAGAGAGTTCTGGTCAACCTTTCTTATTGAAGGGGTGGCATTAATGTCATAAGAAAAGCTGCTACATCCCAAAATCTGGAGGGCTTCACTCCAGTAGTCTTACAAAAATACCTCTTGCCATGGTGGGACAAATAAGTATCAGTAAAAAGGGGAAGCTTGAATGGATGCTGTTGCCTGAAAGTCTCTCAGCATCTTTCTCCTCCTGTTTTCCCTATGAACAGCCAAATGTTCTCCCAGATTGAACCCAAGGAGAGGCTCTTCCTGCAAACAGTGGGACAGGCTCCAGCAGCAATTGCCGGTCTGTATCCACAGACACCACAAAGCAGCACCCACAGATCTGTGTGAGCACAGAGCAGGATGGCTGGGCAGACAAGCAGCGCATCTTCAGCTGTCTGCGCCTCCTGGATTCATCAACCAGAAAGACAACAATGCAAAAGGAGGTGGCTTCTTCCCATCCCAGCTCCATTCACTTGAAGAAAAAACACTTGCTACTGGCTGTGTCAGAAAGCAGCAAGTGCACCTGGAGCATGAACCTCCTCCTTTCCCTTGGGTGTTGAAAAAAATTCTTGAGATGGAAGAGGACCTTGACTTAGGAGAGATTACAACTCCAAACACCACACTTGTCTCAGGAAATAGCTTCAGGAGAATCTCCTATGGAGACAGCATCATCTGCTCACCTGTTTCTATACCCTTTGCGTGACACCTACTAGTGTGGAGACAAGACCCTGGGTGAGGTGGACTTTTGGTCTGATGCAGAACAGCTGTGTTTGTGCTGGAGAGGAAACCTGGCTGGGAAGAGATGAACCCTGCTGGCTGTGCCTTTGTTTTTTTGTAGTACAATAGACTAACTGATAGCTGTCCTGAGCTGGCAACGTAGGGCATTCAAGTGCCCTTCCATTTAATCCACATAATCCATGTAGTAAAATGTCTTTCTATATAGTCTCTTAAAATTAAATTGATAGAAAGTTAGGAGACCACTGTCTATTGCAAAGAATAATCATTAGCCAGAGAAACACAAACCTACCTTTCAGACACAAGATTTCTGAGTGATAATTAAAAAAAGAAGGAAATTGCCCTGGATAGGTTTTTTGGCTTCAGAAATTATATTAAAGCAGATTAGGTGTTGATCATCTTTTCAAAATTGAAAAGGAGAACAAAACAGAAATGTGTTTTAATCCAACATCTAGCACATAAGATGATATAAAGGCAAACCAGAATGGCTTTACAAACCCTTCCAAATACATCTTTCAACATCTGGCAGTCAAAGAAAATACCAATATTTAACAAGCAAAGAAATAACTGGACAACCTGCAGAAGATAGAGTTGTGTATATATTAGTGGAGCAAAAGAAATGCAATTGCCATTTCTAGCAGGCCCTAATCCTCAAACAATGTGTTTATCTTTCAAAGCAGAAGAGAAGGGCAACACACCTGAAGGCATATGAAATGAGAAATAACATAAGAAACCTGCACCGGCTGTGCAAGTAATTGCTTCCAGTGCAACTCATTGTCCAGAGAATAAATTCGTGGGAGTATTTATTCTTCAGACAAGACAACCAACTTGCTGTGCTGCTCACGAGGTCACTTTAAACACAGTAAACCTAGGTGTCCCAATAAACTTCCCACCGACCCAGAATGAAACCATCTGCATGCTCTCTTGGACAACCCTGGGCATGCCTCATTGGATCTGAGCCAAGGCTTTCTAAGCCACACGCTTAGGAACAACAAGTGTGACCCTAAAGGTCTTCTGACATGTTCAAAGGAGGCTGATAACAGCTGTGAAATTCATAAAAACATTAGTTATGGGCAGAAGCTGCCAGAGAGAATATCTTGCTGTGCCAGCACTGTGTGTCGGTGTTTCCCTCATGTAAACGTTTTGCAATTCCCAGTTCACACGGAGCTCTGATGTTTCCTGCAGATCTCAAATCCCCACCTCTGAGCCATACTCACTTATGCAAGTGGGTTTCACACATGAAGCCATGCTTTTGTGCGCAGACAAAAATACCTGTTAGCCAAACCGTGCAGCCTCGAAATCCACCCCTGGTACCGACGACCTGACCTCTCTTACTCCTGCTGACATGATGGGCTTGGTAAACCACATTGGTTGATCCCTGATGAAAACAAAGCAAAACAAACCAATTTTGTTACCTTGTTGTTCTCTGTACCAAAGAAAATTTCATTTGGGACTAACATAAGGGAGAGAAATGCAAATCTACTAAAAATCTGCATGAGCCATTCCAGTAAGCCTCAGCAAATTGTCAGTTTGCTGTAAGTTGGATTTCTGTCTGAACAGCGCAGACTTGTTGTTTGAAGACAGTATTTCCCTCTGCTCAGAGTGCTCTGGTAGCAGTACCTTCACGTCTGCCACTGCCGGCAGTGGCAGAAGGTGATTTGCTTGGTTGCAGGAGCGCTGCCAGGTGACTGATACACCCGCAGGCAAGGCATGGGAGAACAGAGAGTGTGCAGAGGTACAGGCAGCACACTCCCTGCCTCTTCGGCATTTTAAAATACAGGCAGACTCGCCTATTATTTTAATTACGTTTGCAAAACAAAAGCAACTTCGTAGCTGCTGATGTACTTGGTGTGTTCAACATGACACGGCTGCTAATAAATGCAGCTGGGGCACGAAACGGCAACACAGCAGGGCTGAGCTGAGCAAAACCAGGACCCAGATGGAAACACGGTGGGATAGGCAGACGAAACAATACCTAACACATATGTGTGCGCTTCCAAGGGCAAACAAGAGATCAGCACAGTGCTGAGCCAAAGGCCTGAATTTTGGTGCTTCCTAATGTTGACCTGCTGTGGGCAGAGCAGCCTCAGCTTCTTTACTGGGATGCAATCTAAACCAGGCTCTTTGTGTCCTGCAGTGCTAGCAACAGTACTTAGACAATGATTTTTTGCACATATAATATCTACAAGATCTTATTAATAGTGAGAACTTCCAACTGAGGCATCCAAAGGAAAATTCTCAGGAAGGAACAAGGATATAAATATTTTCTCCACAGCCAGATTCTGCACAACCACAGGTTTATCCTCAGTTTCATACCATCAGTTCAAGAGCAGGTCTGGCCTTTCCCATGGTTCACATCTTGCTATATAAATATTTCCACATCTGAGGTCATAGCAGAGAAGTGATCATCTTTCATTTGTCCAAGCATAAAATTTTTACAAGAAAAAGAAAAAAAAAGAAAAAAGGAATGGGAGAAAAATAAAGTTCAAGTTCCCTTTTAAACATGTTAGCAGAACAGCCTGATTGGGTTTTTTTTTCCCTCTGCTTGCTGTGTCATTAACACTTCAGCATGATTTTCAGGACTTTAGTCTCAATACCCTCCAGCAACGCATCTTCTCATTCCAGGGACTCTCGCTTCCCATTTTCATTGCCACATCAACCAGAGCGTGTGTGTCCCTGACATCACTTCCCCCATCTGCAGTTGTTTCAAAGGATAAAATCAATTATTTGGGGGTTGGAGTGTAGTGGATGGACAAGATGCTATCTGAAACACAGAGCCTGGGTACCGCAGCAAAACAAAACCAAAGAAACAAAACCTCTCTAGATCTGACCCTGGAAAAGTGAGTGAGCTCAATGCATCCTGGTGAGTCAGAAAATAAAAGATCTGGTTTCTGTGTTTCTTGCCATTTTGTCTGGGGTTCCTTGCAGAGGGGTCTCAAAAGTCTGTTTGAACGTTTTGAGCCTGCAAAGGTGAGCCAGCACCACAGCGGTTTAATTTCCACCCGTCCCCAGGGGCTCCGACTTGGGCACAGACTAAATGAGCATACGCTGAAGATCCAGCTAACAAAAATAACTCTTTCTCCCAGGATGCACAGGTGTGCTCCTGCTGTGTTTACTCCTGGTTGAGCTCTAGCACTGCTCTGAAATTATGCATCACCTAGCCAAGGACCCTCAGCACAGCACACACGCCCAAACGCACCTTCCCAACAGCCTGCCACCACTCAGCCCTGCAGCAAAACCTCCCCTGCTGCAGCCTAACACCTGCCCCGTGACCACACACTCCTCAACTGCAGCACTCCAGAAACCACAAAGCATCTATTTTGCAATTTGTTTGCAAACCACAACAGATGAGACTGATATTTCTGGATGGAGAAATGAATGTGCATGCTTCGAATCTGTCACAGCCTCTGCATCAGTAGGAACTCCAGCTACACACCTGCCCTTGCAGAATGTTGATCTGCTGGATCCGTCCTGCAGGAGATGAATTACGATAACATCCGTGCCTTGGGAAGATGCAGGAACTAACACATTCCTACATGGCTGATGTAACGAGATTGTTACAAGTACACATTGCTGTGCCATAAATCTTCCCAGTGCATGCATCTCAGAGCTTTTCTTTTGCATGCTGGCATCTTTTGGAGCTTGGGAAAACATCACTGAGGGCATTTTTGCAATTTGGCAATGCTGGCAACGCTGTCAAACCTCTTTGATCTGCTACCAAATCCCTCTGATTTTTCTGCTGTGTCAATAATCTTGCTGGTAAACTCTTCCTCACCCTGAGCAGCCGCCTGCCACACACCAACTCAAATTCTCGGCGTCAGCTACACCAAAGATAAAGCAAGAGAGAGAAACACAAGCAAGCAGCAGATGTCTGGGATGGCAGCTTGCTTGGCTGGAAACACCAACTTCCTACCCAGTCATCCCCCAGCTGGGACATGGCTTGGGAAGCCAGAACCATAGCATGATCAGAACAGAGTGAAGGCACCACACAAAATAAGCATCAATGGCCTGAGAGCAAACCCTGGAGAGATTTCATCTGAACAAGCATACACTGCAAGACAGCTGGGAGGCAGAGATAACTGGTGGACAGGGTTTAATCAGATCCGGGGCTCTCCTATTGATTTTATTCCCACAGTTTAACCTCATCATTGTAACCCAAACATATTTAAAAGAGATAATCCAATTCTCAACACAACACACTCACTCCTGGATATCGGGCCCCTGGCAGGGAAAATTTAGGGACACTGGAAAGCATTTCTTGCAATAGTCTAGATCAAAGATGTGATGTTTGGGGGAGGAATTTCTTACCTAAAATTCAGCCCCAAGCAAGGCTCTAAGAAGCCAAGAAATGACCCGGCAGTGTCTCCAAAGAAGAGCCATGGAACCTCTGCAGCCAGATGGTTAAGGGCACTGGTACACCCTCTCCTTTCCTTGGAAATTTACTGTTTGGCCACATGTGCATGACCTCAGCACTCAGCCCACCCTGCCTTACCTCATCCAGGCAATGAGACAAAAAATAAAGACATGGCTCCAAACCTTCTACCACGGAGAGAGCAGACCAAGAAGCCAAATCCTAACTCTGCTTTTGGCCCTCCCTTCTCGTGAACCTTTCCAGGAGCCTGACAAACTGGGAGACACCAAGACCTCAGATGTCTTTAAGATCAGGCTTGAGTGAGCTATTTCCAAATGCCTCCTGGCCTGGCTTCCTAAACAAAAAGTTTTTCCCCACTGGTGGTAGACGATGCTCCTCTGCTTTGTGAAAGCAGGTTGCAGGAAGAGGCAGGAGGCTTTTTCTTGATGCTCCTCCCAGATAAAGAGATGGACCCCTGAGACAAGAGTACACCACAACATAGACCTGTTGGAAATGAGGAAACATCAGTGTCCTCTGCTCTGAGGGCTACCACTGCTCAGTTCATGGTGTCTGAGAAAGTAACCTCAGGTTTTTGTTAAGTATTTGGCCCTGAAAGGGAGCAACTGTGTTTGCCCGCATAAATAGAAGGTTGCATGTGACTACCCACACAAGAGGTGTTGCCAGGGAGCATCTTTTCCTCTCATCTGATAGCTAAATGCCTGGTGGACTGTTCCCAACCATTGCTGACATTTGTTAGGAGCAGAACCACTGCATGATTAATAGAAAGCACACTAGAAGAATATTTAGGCTTGTCCCAACAAATTACATGCATGATTTGCCACCTTCCACTTGAAATTTAAGTATGTATAAACTCTGGTTCTTATGACACAAGGCAGCACCTCCTCCTTACCCCACCTACCCATTTCTTTAGTCAGCATCTCCATGGCTCCATAACAAATGGGGTCAGGGCAAGAAACAAGTGCAAGTGCCACATGCTATGCTGAGGGGTGGAAACAAAGAAGAAGAGCCAGAAGCTGCACGGGACATTCAAAAGATCCCCAAACTGCATACAGCCCCCTCAGGCCAGCTCTTGCTCAGCCATCCGTAGAAGGCAGAGCTCTCCAATGTTGCAGGAGGAAAGATTTGTCATTAATAAGCAGTGCTGGTCATCACAAAGACTGATGAGGTCTAAAACAATGTCCTTATTGCGCCCTTACTTTCCCTCCGCTGCTGAGGTAGTACCTCTGCCTGCTGTAGCTGGCACAGGCAGGGTGTGAAGCTGTCCAAGTGCACAGCTCGTGGCAGGCTGCAGCAGCATCCCATTCCAGAGAGGAACTCCCTCCTGAAAACACAGCACGGATCAGCCCAAGAATGAAGCCAGTGGAGAAACACTCTTGCAGTGCGGTGCTATGAAGCACATGTTAGTCACACGTCTGGCTCACTTAACAGGAGGGCCATCTTCATAGGAACATGATTAGAAACCAACTGACAGCTGGCAGGACTCTCAGCCCTGGGAAAACCCAGACACAATGGTGAGGGTAGGGTCAGGACTCCCCCAGCTGCATTTTTATTCATAGAACTATCTCATGTAATCAGGAATACAATCCCTTTTTTTTCTAGACAAGCACCTAGCCCTATTTTGGTACTGCAGCCTGGACATCTCTCCAGGAGAGGGGAAAAAAAGGCTTTCAAAATGTTATCAATGTTTTCAGCTAATAATATTTGCAAATGGTAAAACAAGCTTTTAAAATTATGAAATGATCAAGAAGATTTCAAGTTTGAAGTCAAACACTTGCCTCTGGAGGTTGATCTAACTTACTGCTTAAAATCCCCTCCCAAATCCTGCCATCTTACCAAAAAAAAAAAAAAAGAAACCAAAAAACCCTAACTTTTGTCCTAATAATTGAATTTGATGCATAAAAATTAAGTTCACGAGGCTTTTCCTTAAATAACAATTTTCTTTTACCAGGGCAAGTCCATTGACTGCTCTTGCAAATGGGCAAGCTGACCTAAAGAAGACAAAGTAA